GCAGGTGATGGAGCCAGGGTTCTGGTGCTGGTGGCGCCCCCACTTCCGCACAGGCTCCGGCACTCCTGACTCAGTGCCTATGCTGTTGTAATAAAAGTTCCCTCAGCACCTATAGTTTGAGCTCTCGGCACCTGCTCTGCTGTCTCCCTCCTGGCATCCAGACTAAGTTCCAGACTGATTCATAAACTCGGGAAAGACGGGCATTCGGCCACCTAAGTCATGGGTGGGGCCATGGGCAGCTCGTGACCCTCTGGGCTGGGGGAGGCTACCCCAGTCCCACCCCTTCAGGCCAAAGTCCCGCCACTTCTGGGACCCTGGAGCCACCCCCCTACCCAGCTGCCAACCCCCATCTCAGGTTGGCTGGTGCCTACAGCAGCCCCCCATATGCTGGGGCAAGCGACGGTGCTGCAGCTCCCACCCTGAGCCCCTGGAGCCCAGCGGCTCTGCCGAAGCAGGGCCCTGGAAGGTGGAGTGTGGGCGAGACCATTCCTGGCCATTTGGGGAAACTCAGCCTACCCACCGCCAGTGGGTGGGGCCCAGTCTGGTAGCATCCTCTGAGTATGCCTAAAGGATCAGGCCTTGCAGGCAAGTTCACACAAAACACCTGGGGGCAGGGGGAAGCTAAGAAGAGAGGGAAAGAGGAGGAGCTCCCTCATAACTCTTATCCCAGGACTTAGGACACTCCCCAGAGATGTGGGACCCCTCTGCTTCAAGTCCCCCCAACTTCAACATGCTGCCTACCGAGCTGTTTTCAAGCACTAATGCAAGCTCCAGTTTGTCGACCCAGCCTGGGAGGCTCAGAGCCATGGACTGTGTAGATGTACCCCAGGGCCCTCTCTCGCCTCATTCTTTTTCCTTTTTTTTTTTAAAAATAGGAGTTTAGGCACCTAATTTGGACTTTGAAGATCATAATGATTTTGTCAGTGCCTAACTTTTATACATGGTGCTCCAGACCAGAGCCCCCTTCTGCACCCCAAACCCCTCATAGAATCACAAAATCATAGGACCTGAAGGGACCTTGAGAGGTCATCTAGTCTAGTCCCCTACACTCATGGGAGGACTAAGTATTATCTAGACCATCCCTGGCAGGTATTTGTCTAACCTGTTCTTAAAAATCTCCAGTGAAGGAGATTCCACAACCTCCCTAGGCCATTTATTCCAGTGCTTAACCACCCTGACAGTTAGGAAGTTTTTCCTAATGTTCAACCTAACCCCCCCTTGCTGCAATTTAAGCCCTTTGCTTCTTGTCCTATCCTCAGAGGTTAATGAGAACAACTTACCTCCCTCCTCCTTGTAACAACCTTTTAGGTACTTGAAAACTGTTATGTCCCCTCTCAGTCTTCTCTTTTGCAGACTAAACAATCTTCCCTCATAATAGGTCATGTTTTCTAGACCTTTAATCATTTTTGTTACTCTTCTCTGGACTTTTTCCAATTTGTCCTCATCTTTCCTGAAATGTGGCACCCAGAACGGGACACAATACTCCAGTTGAGGCCTAATCAGTGTGCAGTAGAGCAGAAGAATTACTTCTCATGATGTTTGTTTTTTTTCCCCAACAGCGTTACACTGTTGACTCATATTTAGCTTGTGATCCACTATGACCCCTGGATCCCTTTCCACAGTACTCCTTCCTAAACAGTCATTTCCAACCCCAGAGCCTGCAACTCCTCCCACCCTGCTCTCCAACCCCCTCGGCCTCAGCCTGGAGGCACCTCCTACATCCCAAACCTCTCAGCTCTGGCCCCACCCCAGAGTCCTCCTGCCCCAGCCTGGAGCCCCCTCCTGCACCCTGAATCCCTTGTTTCTGGCCCCTCCTGGAGCCTACACCCCCAGCCAGAGCTCTTACGCCCTCCTGCACCCCAACCCCCTGATCCAGCCTGGTGAGGGTGGGGGAGAGCGAGCAACGAAGGGAGGGGGGATGGAGTGGTTGGGGTGGGTCCTCGGAGAACGGGGGGGGCAGGGGTGGGGCCACAGGGCAGGGAAGGGGGTGGGGTAAGGGGGTAAAGTTTTCTGTGGTTAGAACATTGGCAACCCTAGGTGGGTGGGCTGGGAGACTCCTGCCCCCTCCCATTGCCCAGCTTGGAGCTGCCCCTGGCCAAGCTGCTCCTGGGAGCCTCCTGTCTGCTGTGCAGAGCAGGGGTTGGGGGTTGATGTCAGGGGTGTCCCCACCCCCTGCTTGTGTACCCAGTCTTTGCTGAGCTGGGGTGGGGTGGGGTGGGGGGACAGGCGTCTGTGCTGCTGCCTCAGGGTCAGGAATGGGAGCTGCTGGCTGCTGCTGCTGGACTGAACAAGCCTTCAGATTAGTCAGTGCTCTGCTTAAAGAGACAGCGCGCTGTCTCTCACACTGTCCCTCATACTCTGTCTCTTTCTCCTCCCACAACACACACTTGTATTGTTTGTGTTGTTGTTACTTCTTGGTACTTCCTGTCGAAATATGCAGTGCACATATATTCTCTGTAATTTTATTCTTTCAGGGTTGGTTAAGGATCACAGAGCAGATATTTCAGTGTTTTGACTGGTCTGTGCATTTCATAATTTAATTTTTCTTAAGCTTAAATTTAATTCTTTGTGTAGTGAGTTCTAAAATACCTAACCTGTGCTGGCTGGAGTAATTCTCATTATTACTTTTATTATCAGACTGTGCTTTGTCATTCATTATTTAAGGTGATACAATCACAGTATCCTTCTAGAATGTAAATTTAGCTTGTACTCCCCTTAGCAATGCCAGTTTTTTAAAAAAGAAATTAGCTAAACACATAACTTTAGACACTGTGCAGATGAAGGTTGCATATTTTCAAGTTGTATTTTTAGTTGTATCTGTAAACTAAGTTAAAATTTGTTCAAAATAAATGCCATTCCAAGTCTGATGCTAATAGCAATGATGGAGTCAAATGTTAGTGAGCCATGTACATGATTGTAATCGGCAAAAATAAATGCCAAAATAATTAGAAAAATAAATTTCCCCATTCTTCATAAAAGAGTAAAACCCCTTAATGACATATGTTAAAACTAAGTAAATACGTTTTAGTGAAAAACAATTCACTACAATAGAATAGATAATGGCAGTAATGTAGAGTGTCTGTTAGAAAATGTAAGCAGATTTTCCTGGTTTTTATTTATCTCTACTAAAGATAGTGTACAAAGTATTAAATTTGTGTTTCTGATACTGTGTTAAATCTCAAGAATTGATGCCTCAAATTTGGGGATTGGGAATATCTTGCTGTATTAACTCCTGATTGTTCTACGTTTACATAGAAACTTAAAATGTGGCTTCAATTGGAGTTTCTATATTTTTTTTAAAATCTTTCTTTGTATAGGAATTAGATCCAGTGTTCCTGTCAGCTAATTCCTAAATTATTATGTGCAAAAAATTCTAGAGTTTTCAAGTGCCTAAGCAGCCCCTGGAAACATGGTTAAAGTTGTCTCTCGCCCCCAGAAAACTAAAATGGAGCCCCAGTGGCCGGAGGGCTGCAGAAGGGCCGTGGGCTCTGGCAAGATGCAACCCACTATTCGGGCTGCTAAACCAGTGCCTCATTTCTTCTGGGGCTGAGCTCTGGCACCTCTTTCAATACAAATTAAGCACTGGGGGGAGGCAGTGGGGCCCAGAAGTGATGTGTGTATTGGGGGGGAGAGACCAGGGAGACTATAGGGACCAGGGGTGTTGAAGGAAGTATGAAAATAGAAGTTCACCCAGGGCGCCATTTTCCCTAAGGTCAGTCCTGACAACGTTCAACTGCATTTGTGCATCCAGGCCCTTGTGTTTAATGAAATGATCACTCAACCGTTGCAGATTAGGTAACACAGATACAGAAAACCCATACCAAGTTGAATTCCATGTAGACATGCCCACCTTGTGTAAATACATTGACGATTCTGGCCCCAGTTCAGAAATTAAGTCCCCATCCCTATTCAACAACACACTTAAACAAGTGCTTGACTTCAGGCACATCCTTAATTCCCACTGATTTTAAAATGAGTAAAGGATGCACTTTTCTGTTTCAGTTTGTATATAATTGGTTTTTTCCCCTGGAAAATATTAGATCAAGAGAATTCAGTGCACCGGCCTCCACCCCAAGAAAAATCAAGAAGATTAGTGACAAGAGGCAGGAAACGATACTAATGGCGGTTGGGTTTGCAGCTGTACGTTTCTTTCAGCCTTCTAAAGAGAGGAAGTTATTTTGTTACAACTTTTCCATTGCCTCCACTGAATGCAGGATCTGGCCCAGGATTCTTCAATAAAGCACAATAAGAATATAAATGAATTGCTAATTCAAAGTGGAGTAAAAGTGGCGTTATAGTGCTAGGAAAGTGATCTGAAATGTAGTTTGAATGTATATCATTTTGTACATCCGTGTAATGTTGTATCTCCTTAAAAAGTAAAACAAATTCTCATAGGATTACCAAATCTTTGTATTATTAACAATCTGTGCAAAATAAATCAAGGGCTGTCATTAGTTCAATGTCTTTTGAGCAGTCAAAGTTCACTTACCTGATTTGAGAAGTTTTATGATCTTTAGGGTGTGGCCTGGCCTTCCAAAATCCTCAGCCGGTTATGGATGGTTTATATTCTAAAGATCACTCCATTATATCCATTTGCACAGCTATGTCTAGCTGTAAAATAGCTGCAGGGATGTATTGTAGCCTTTCCTTACAGGCTTTTTAAGAAATCCTTTTTCCTCCAACATGGTAAATGTGGTTTTCTCTTTCAG